TCGAGACAGCTTGTATGGCATCATCTGCATCAGTTCTGCAAAAAGCCTCGCGAGAAAAATACAAACAACTAAAAAAGGGTAATCACATAGTAGTCATTAGTCATGAACAAAAGTAGGCATGGTATTCGTTCGGAAGTCTGCACCAATTGCCATATCATTTGTATACGACATGGAGACGTTGCCTTGGTCACCCACGCAATGTGGTTTTACTGGGTCTGGCTCGCTGGCATCGCTCGAAACTGAATGCACATTATTTGCAAAGGTCTCAAGCAAGAACCAACATCAAGAATGGCTACCTGACGGTGCGAGCAAACCATCTGCAGCATCATGGAATTCCATGGGATTCCAGAACCTCCGGACATCTGGGCAACAAAATACTCTGCGTCGTCAAGAACCAATCCCCGTGATATCATATCCCAGGATAAAGATATACCTAAACTTTAGGTCAAAACCTATGTGGCCTCATCTGGCCTCCAGTCTCTGCACCCCTCTTTGGAGCATATGATCATTTTGGATGCTCTGTGCGGTCTCGGGGGGATGAAAGTCGTACGAAATCTGGGCTCTCCGCCAGCCTCTCCCGGATTCCCAAGCCAAGCAGTGAAACTTGTCTCACTGTGGTGAATTTTAAGGTCGTTGGAGTCCTACTGCCCAATCAAATCACAATGCCAAGCCCCCTTTGTCATCTTCATCTTCAAAACTCATCGGTCCAGGCACACCCAGTACTCATCCCCAACCCCCTACCGCTTCCCACCGTCAACTAGAAAACCCCCAGGTCCCTCGCCCACAATTCATCCAGCACGCCGAGATTTTCATCGTGGTGGACATGCAAAGGCTGGGGCCTCCTTCATCCATCTCCACCGTGAGGCCATCGCAGAACAACTGGAGCCGATGAAACGGCGGAAACACGTCCGGGCACGAGCGGGACAGCGGGATCGGCATCACCAGGCTCGATCGGGTTCCCGCATGGAATAGGATCTTTCCAAGGCTTTTTTTTGTGGAGGGAGGGAGGGAAAACACGAAGAGCCACCAGCTCTGGCCATGAGACACCTCAAACACCATCAACCGTTACAGTAAAAGTTATTTGTTAAAGGGAAAGCATCTACAGTACTTTTTGATCATGTTCACTGAAATGGGTCTGGAACTTTCCCGCGTGCGGTCCGACCATTGTTCCGAACTGCGTCTGTAAAGGTTCATACATGATCCAGTACACATTGTCATTCAAAAGGGTTCATCTTTCGCTCTTTACTCCTAGAGTTTCCACATACTTCTAAATCTTACAACCCTCGCATCCGCTCTGTGTTCGCAGTGCCGGAATTCCAGGAACCTTTAGTTTGGGTCTTATATATATACATATATAAACTCAATCTTACTCATCTATACTTTTCTATACTTTTCTTGCTTTTGTGGACACCTCATGAAAACGGCCTCTTAAACCACCAAGACCTGAAACTCATGAAGCAAAAACATCCTCCAAATGCATCTAAACGGGCCATCTTACGGCCAAACCATCGCCTCACCCCAGCCTGCACTGGCAAATGCATGGGGGCTCCGCCGCGAACACGTGATGTGTTCGGCCTGCTGTCTTCGGCCTCGGACGTGCTTCGGTTCCACCCATGGAGGTGGTTCCCGAGCGGTCCGACGTCTGAATTCTTCTCAAAATCTGGGCTGGCTCGTCTTGGAAAAGGAAGTGTCATGAAGTGTCAGTAGTTTGAGTCTGTTTGACCCTGATTGGGCACTCCAAAACAAGAGCTTGACCGATCTTCGCCATCCGATCGCGGTCTCGCGATGTCTCGGGTCGACCCGATGTTGCGGAGCCAAGGGAGAGGGAGACCCGATGGCATCTGATCCAGTGAAATCCACTACAGTGGATGGAGAGTAGATGGCACAATCACCCAGTTTGGTGGTTTATATGGACCCCCCATCTGTCTAAGACATCTTGGGGTTTGTGCCATCTACTCTGAAATCCACTGTAAGAACTGACAGAGGTTTGACTGCTGTGATACTATGATGAACTCAAACCTGGGTGTGATGTTTCTTATGTTGTTAAAGGAAGATAGCGGTAGCCACAAGCATGAATTGTTTCAGAAATATGTCCAACCGTATCCGCTCTATCGGCTGCAGGCCAGTTGTATGATGAATCGTTATCAAACCAACTGTGACCCTTTCATGTGTGATCTTACAACAATCAACGAATCAATTCAATACCATTGTATCTCGTGTTACCCATCGAGGTAGGACTTTGTAGGGTTCCAGCAGACCAAACATCAAAATCACAAACTGAGGGCCATCATGATTCCATCCACCCCCAGGATTCCATCACAAGCTGAGGGCCATCATGATTCCTTCACCCCAAGTTCAGGTTGGGTGCCTTTATTTCCGAAAAGAAGAAGTGAGGTGCCCAGAAGTTCTCCTGGAGGTGCCCAGAAGTGCTACTCACTGGATCGGACCCAAACACCATCCCGTTGGAACGTGCCCTGCAAGTGCCCCTCTTTCTGGGTTGAAAAAAGCCGTTCATTTTCGCCTCAGGGGAAGGGCTCCATGAATTCTGTGAAGGACTTGTTCTCCAGTTCTCCTCTGATGCCAGACTCTAACTCTTCTGATTGGCCCATTGACATCCATTGACCCATTTGAGTGGGCCAAGATTTGCTCCCAACCAGGGATTTCGCTTGGTGGGTCCTTTTCGTTCTCCTTCAACATGCGCCCAAGCAGCCAGCCAGGCAGCGGGCGAACAACCGGAAGTCACTTGAGCCAAACAAATCGCGCGAAATCAATCATCTCACCCAAGGAGGCGAAGAATGAGGTACTGGAGGGATCATTAAACAACACACTAAAACACATCAAAACACAAATATCTCTGAGGTTTTCAGGACCGGACCCGGGACCAACTGGATTCCTTTTTCCATCATAGATGCCCTGTCCAGGGCTGAACGGTGACCTTCTGTGACCAGACCCGGCGTGGAGGGCAGTCCGTTCGGGCCGAAACGGCACTCGTGTCCCGTTGGGTTCAGACCGAGCTACGGTTGAAGCGGTTCCGTTCGGTTCGTCCATTGAATCTCGTCCACAAGGGCCGGACCGTGTTGAAGCCTTCTGGCCGGACCTCAAAACCTCGATTTGGGCTGTCTGTAATGGAAAAACTTCCCATGTTGCACTACCCACATGCACATCCAACATGAGCATGGCCTCTGCCCAACTAAACTCACCAGATCAAAACGTCAAACATCTGAAACTTCTGTCCAACTAGGGGTGATCCACGTTTTTCAAGTGCTTAGGCCCTAGGCATGGGAAATAAACCTTGGTTCCCCCAGTAGAACGGCCCAGGCCACTGACCTGGCGCTTGGTTGAAACCTTTCAACACCTTTCACCCTTCATCAACAACTCCAACCTACTAGGAATGGTCTCCAACCTGAGAGCCATGGCCTCCCACTTGAGAGCGATGGCCACAAAAGCTCCACAAAACCTGGCCTTTCCGGCGGCTTCCCACGCGCAGCTCGGATCACTCGGCCGATGGCAGGATCCCGCCTCAGGTTGAGAAGGGGATCAGGTCATTTTAGCACGTCATTGACGTGGGCAGGCGGTTCTGATTTGCTTGGGTACAAGTTTGCTAGGAGGAAAGTCTATGAGGATTAGCACGCAAACACGTCGTAAGATGTTTATGTATGGCATATAAGATGTCTCTGTATGGCATATTTCATCACATTTACAGATCAGTTGGGGTGGGTAAAGGAGGGGTCGATTGTTAGAACTATCATGCAGTCACTTGAATTGGCTTCTGGGATTGGTATCTGGCAGGCCCTTTTTTGTGTGTGTGGACATTTCAATCACATTGGTGACATGGTGGTGTCTTACATCTTTTTCACTACAACATCTTAAATTTCTTACCATTACATCGTGATTACATCTTGTTCTTACATTTCTTACATCTTTTGATTATATCTTTTTCATGGTGAATGTATGTGGAATATCCACTACAACGCTAGTCACACTGATCTTCGGTCCTTCCACCCCTACGCCTAGTCGTCAAGCCGTTGCCCCATGTCTATGTTTCATGAACGAGAGGCCGGGCGTCGTGGGAGTGAATCTCCCAGAAGAAAGTTACTAGTAGCTTCCTGTTTCTGCTAGTAAGGCCAGGAGCCCCTCCTAGT